AGTTATAAATTGGTGTAATGTAAAAATGAGCAATAAAATTTCATACCTAACTATTTGGCCCCCATAGAAATTATAATTCTTTTTTCTATCAATCACATATTTTTCAATAAAATAATATTATGCATAATTCTAAAACATTTTCTTCTTTTTTAATCACACATTCTTCAAAAAAACATTATTCTAACCATTAAAATTTCAAATAATGGGGGCTAAACGAGGGCTTAGCATGATCTTGAAACTTTTGCTCTTGATGCTAAATTTACAATGTACATTGTGAAAAGTTGGCAACGATAGAAAAGAGTGGAAGGACAGTGTTATTAGCTGTTATTTACGAACTTTAGAACTTGGTGAGACGTGGAAAACACAAAAAGAATTAGAAAATGGGGGGTTGTGTTAGGGACTAGAATAAATGATGATGAAAATTACTCACTCTTCATCGATGTATAAAAAATCATTGTCTTTGGCACAAATAAGGCATAGTGTTCATGAGTCGTATGCAAATATAGAATCGTCGTTAAACAAGTTGTGGTCAGTAAAGAGATTTTTTCAGAGCTTTTTGTTAAGAGAGGAGAAAATAAATTGCAAAAGTTAATTATTGAATATAGGCATCAAATTCTCAGGTTGCTAGTGTAATGAAGTTAACATTGCAAATGACAAAGATATCAATCGGAATAATGATGGATGAAAATAGCGGTTGACGAAAACAATATTCATTGTTATCATAGCGGTTGCATATACATATATTATCTTTCAACAAAACTGTACATAAACATCTCGCGCTTCACTTCTTTCCCTATCGTATCTATTTCGTCTAACATTTCACAAAATGAAGGGTCTTTAATTAAACCCTTGACTTATAAATGACCAATCTGTTTCCAATTCTTCACGTTATTTCATTGAATTTCAATTTTTTACTCTTTGGTTAAAATTCCAAATGACACTTCCAAGTTAATTCAAGTGATAATTATAGTGAGGGTTTCAAACCTTTCAATTTGTTACAAGCTACACCTAAACGTTTTATTTTTGGAACTGTAGTCTCAAACATTTCACTTTAATTGTAGTCAAAGTCCACTGGATAGAATCTGTCCATTAATTCGTTAGTCAACCCTGAAATTAGAAGCTTGGCTCCAATTGAAAAAATGAGTTAGGGGTAAAATGGTAAATTTATATTTTTATAATAAAATAATTGAATCAAAAATAAAAATAAATGAACTTCACCTTCTCCAAACCATCTCCCAAATCAAAAACCAGAACCCAATAAATTATTTAACTGCATCTACTATACCCTTAATTCTTTACTCTTCTTCTAAGAATCGACACAATTTGGAATTTCCCTTTAATCAAATCAAAGTCCCTATAAATTCCAAGTTCGAAGAAAGTTTCATAGAAAATCAAAGTCCCTATAAGTTTTCCTTTAATCAAAACAAATCCAAAAGACTCGATTTTGAGCACGGTGGCATGGCCATTCTAACACATGAGTCTGTAAAGGTAAGTCAAATCGGATGAGAAAATCGGGTTGGAGATGGAAGTCGGGGTATAGGATGAGAAGAGGATGAGGATGAAGTCGAGGGTGGCAATAGCAATTCCAATTGAAACAAATACAAGACGCTGCTCAAGGAGCATGTAACGAATCGGACAAATCACATTCAAACATGGATTCATTGGCATCAGTGCGTACGCCTCTTGTTGAAAAATAATTAGTTGTAGTAACTTTTTAGAACAATAAAAGTGCAGAAAGGAAAACTTATCGATTGATTGAATCTCGTGACAGCATGATATCTTAAAGTGAAAGTATCCACCGTTAACTACTGTGACATTTTTGGATAATCACTCTCAAGATATAACGTTCAAACCACTTATTCAGCAATCACAGAATGATTTTCAGAACTTTTAAGTGCACTTCAAAAAAATGAAAAATATTATTAAGTATGAAGAATCACTATATATGAAAAATGATATTTCATTTTATGATAATTATTTTCAAATAGTAGACATGTTTTTATATAGCCACAATCGTAATAATTGCCTCCACCATGATTGCAATTTTTATGGGTTGTTAATAACATCCTAACAATCATATTACCAGCCAGTTTGACCAGTGAATAAATAAATTTGAAAATTATGAAAAAAAATATTATTTTAATCAAAGAAATCCAAGAACCTAAGATCCCAATGCCCAGTCAAAGACTATTTAAAAAACGCTTGGGATGTAAATTGAACCCCAATCTCCTATACAAATTCCACACTTTTCACAAATTAGGTATTTTATTTAACTTTGTTATTTCTTTCAAATAATGTATTCATTGTATAAATATCTAACACCTCAATCACCATTAGTGACTCACGACCTCTGAATATTAACTTTGAACCCGTATATGTGTATGTGATTATAATCTATATCTATAAATTTGTACATTGATTCAAATAGGGATGACAATTTGGCTTGTCGGCTTAAGTCGCCTGTGGCTCAGCCCAAAAATGTCCAAGCCATCCCGGCTTAAGGTTTGGTTCTATCAAGCTCAAGCTCGTCTTGGGGTGCCGAGCTAAGCTAGAGCTGGCCCGTATGACTCATCGGGCCGATCATTAAAAAATAGTATTGTTCTGCCTACTTTTTAAAGGTAGGCATGTGCTACCTATGTGTTATGAAAAAGAAAAAATTCGAGCCGACTCGACTCAGCTAGGTAAGGCCCGAGCCAAAAGCTCAAGTCAAGCCTTGATTTTTTAGTTGAGCTTTTGCTTAGCTTGGCTCAACTTGGGACAAAAAAGCCCGACTTCATTTTATTAGAGTCGAGCCCGAGCCTAAAGTTTTGGTTAGCGAGCCAACTTGTCTCGACTTGTTGACATTCCTAAATTCAATAGTTTAGATGAGAAAATGTTAAATCGTGTGTATATGAATTTGTAGTTGTATTTAAGATGACTATTGATGAATTTGTTTGAATTGAATGAGGATTTTCTTGATTTGTTTGGTAATACATGATGTTATGAGTTTAGGAGACACAGAATTTTAAGACCCATTTGATTAAGAGGTTATCGGATTTTGTACTGAGAATGGATTTTGTGAAAATCAATTCAAATTCATGAAATTCATTAGAAATTATAATATTTTAGAATTTATTGAAATCTTATTTGAGGACACCTCCTTAATATTTATTGGATGCGGTCCAATTCGATCCAATTCTAAAGGGGTTCAAATTGAATCAAGTATCAATAGAAAACTTAGAAATGAAACCATTGAGTCCATATCTAATTATGGAACCGAACCGAATCGAACCAACATATTCCGATTCGGTCTTGTCTAAATCGGTTCTTTTGCTAATAAAAAATTCAAAAGATGCTACATGCACGATACTTTAACAAAAAATAAAATAACCAAACCTACTGTACAAAAATTAAAAGAAAATATAGTATATAATTTTAAAAATAATATAAGTTAATATCATTAAGCAATAACCAACCTATATAAACTGTATAGAACTCCAACTTTTAAATAAACATTCCATTAACACAAGAATTTCAATTTAAGTGCGCAATAAATTTGCAGAATTTTTCCATGGTTTGTACATTGCATCTCAGGAATGAAATTATATAGTATTTATAAAATTATTTATATGTAGATTTACCTAATATTCTAATTTGACTTGAGAATGAAATAATCAATTAATCAAATAAATTGACGAGAAGAAGGAAATCATAATTAAGAAGGCAACTGAAAAAAGAAGAAAGACGTGATTATCTAATTTATGTTTGATAAAAATTATAAAAGATTGAGGTTTTTAAAAAAATAGCAAAAAAAAAAATAAAATTGTTAGAATCGGACCAGAATCGACCGGTTCTCGATAATATGTCCCAAAAACGAATTGGTTCTTAGGCGATACGAAGCCGAACCTGATAGTTTTAATCGATTTTGGTCTGACTCCATCCATTTTGGAAAAGTCCCCTTTTGACGTTATATTAGAAATTTTCCACAAACATATTAAAAGTTCCCTTTTGACAGCTTATATGGTAAATCAAGACTCACTCTCTACACAATCGAAATGAGATACCTACGAAGAATCGTGAGAATTGGCAACAAAAGAAGAAAATTAAAATTGGGTGGTTGGGAAAGAATAATACGTGGGGAAAAAAAGGGTTAAAGGGATATTGAGATTCTCATAAAAAAGAAGCTTTATTTATGCTACTTTAATAAAAGAGATGTTGATTCACTTTTTCCACCCAAAAGGTTACTCTTACAATTTCTTCAATTTTACGTTGGATGAGTTATTGCAATTAGTCAATGATAAGAACAACATATGACGAGCTATTAATTTCTTTTCAATGCAAAATTTTCTTGCCAACATTTATGGTGACTTCTAAACTTGATTGGTTAGACATAAATTCGAGAAATTTGAGGAAAAATTTCCGAACAATCATTTTAGCATAATTGTCATATCAGTTACAGATGTCATAAATTTTGTGACAACAACACATCTATCAAAAAAGTTATCACGATCAAATCTTGAGAATCTTTCATCACACTTCATAGTACTGTAACGAAGAAACAATTATTGAGACTTATATATTCCACATTTTTATTAAAGAAAAATCATTAATGTCCATCCTTAATTGTATGTTTCTTACTAAACCGAATAATTATTTTTTTCAATGTCAAATGTCATTAAAATATTTTACAAATTAAAGTGCTTCTCTCTCATAAACTTGCAAGGAAGGAGATTATTCTCACTTCAACATTTTTAAAATTAGTCGATGTTGGGTAGGGAGTAAAATTAGATTTTTAGTAGAATTTTTGATAAAAATTAATGAAATGTTTAGTTAAAAAGTTGAGAATCACACGATATATGCAGTTATAAATAATTATTAATTTTAACTTAAAACAAAAAATTAGATTTTAAATATGAGCTTAATCTCATATAGTCATACCCCACAAGGGCCACAACCCATGCACTCCTGCCCCACCCCATGTGCCTATATATATTGTGCAAGACGCTGTAACTTCTAAAAAGCAACACCATTACAATATTCTATATTTTCTCTATTTAGCATGGAGTATTGCTATAGTGACACAACAATTACTTCACCATCTTCCCCTTCTCCTCCCCCTCCTCCGCCGCTGCCACATGTGGCCAGCCCTTGTGCCGCTTGCAAGATCTTGCGTCGGCGATGTGTAGAAAAATGTGTGTTGGCACCCTATTTTCCTCCAAATGATCCACTCAAATTTGCCACTGCTCATCGTGTTTTTGGAGCTAGTAATATAATCAAATTCTTGCAGGTAATTTCTATATTTATCTACATATGTGTTTGTATTTATGTATGTATATTTAGGGCATGATTGATGCATATAATGCACAATTCGATTCATCTAAAGTTCAAACAAGTAGTCTAATTAGATATATATATATGAATGATTAACAGGAGCTGCCAGAGGACCAAAGAGCAGATGCTGTGAGTAGCATGGTTTACGAAGCGAATGCAAGATTAAGGGATCCTGTGTATGGAAGTGCAGGAACGATTTCCCAACTCCAAAACCAAGTTAATGAACTTCAACGACAACTAGCAATGGCACAAGCTGAGATTGTCAACATGCAATCTCAACAAGCATATCTTATGGCCCTCATTTGGATGGAAAAATGGCACAGTATGAGTCCTCACCAACACCTTTCCTATGACAATGATTGCCCAACTAATATGAGGTTCCTAGATGAAAATCTTGGATCATTATGGGAGCATGTTTGGAAATGAAAATTATATATCGACTATCACAAGTTTGGATATGACTTAGAAAACAATTTACGGGATGAAACTACAATCGAGAATTTCGCAATTGTATTCTTGACTAGTATTGTTTTGTTTGGAACTTAAAAATTGTTAATGAAGTATCAAGCTTTCTTATAGGTTTCACCACGTCATTTTGTACATACGCCAAATTTATCTTTTTCACCAAGTTATGTGACATTAACTTCTCATATATGAAATTGCAAATAAACTCAAATCTACAATGTTTGTCAAATGCAACATTTTGAATTAAATAAAAAATTTCAAAGTTGAATACTTGAGTTGTAATCTCTTTCATCGAACAAAATGTATCTCTTAATTAGTACTTGTGACATTTGTGTGATACAGAACTTTAAGCCTTATTTCTTGATAATATATTTTGTACAAAAAAAAAAAAAGATTTTTTGAAAAATTTGCAGTTGAAATGTATGGGAAAAATTGAATTACATACAAAATTGTTTTATTAGAAGAATGAGGCTTAGACATGGACTAAGTTGAATTAAGAATTTCAAAGGTTAAACCCCGTCTCGTTATACATAAAGCCTTCTTTTTATTATTATTTTTCATTTTATCATAGTCCTACAACTTGAAATTTTTATATAGAATGAAATTTGATCAAATGTAATCTAATTTGAAAATAATATTATATATTTTGTCTCTCTTGGGCTCGTTAAAAAAATTGATAAAAATTTAAGTGAAAACCAATAATTAATTCCAATAATTAAATTTAACAACACATCTCATGAGACCCACAATTTTTTTTTTAACTTTTCAATCATACATTTTATCAATACTCATCAAAATATACTAAAAATTTGATTTTAAAAACTAAACAAGGGCTTTAATTACTTTTAGATTAATTTATAATATATAAAGTTGAAAAGTCTCGTGCATCAAATCGTGCTAGCATATCATTTCATGAGTAAGTGTCCAATTGATTATTTGCCGTATGTTGAATTTAGAACAACTTTCAAGTCATCTAATGTTTTAAGTTAAGAGTTTTGCTATTCGTCTAAGGAGACATGAGCCCTGGACAAAAAGGGGGTGCCACATGAACCCCCTGAGTGATTAGGCCCATTCTAGCGAAACTCTTAAGTTAAATTGTCATGTCATTATCAAACATTTAAAAAAAAAAAAACTTAAAGTTTGTATTGTTTAAATAATGAAAAATTAAATAATACATTTAATGAATTTGAACTTTAAAATATTTTTAGAGACTAAAGAGAATGATTTTTGTATGATTTAATGAACTTTTATTGATTTTTATAAAGTTTTACAGAATCAATGAAAGTTTTTCATAGGTTTAGACTTTACATATTTTTATAGAATTCATTCAACTTTCAAAGATTTTCATTTTAGAAAAAATATCTTGTCCATAAAGTTACATTCGTATGTAACTTATTGTACATTCTTGTTTTACTGAAGTATTTATTTATGCACTACAATGTAGCCCATTTTTTACAACCATTAATTGTCGAAAACAAAGTTTTGAATAGTATTTCTTAGGAGAATGTGATTAAAAGGTAGGAAAAATTTTTAAATTTACGTACACAATATTTTATTTTGTGAATATATGGTTGAAAATAAGTACGTAGAAAAAAAGAGTTTAAAAATAATGGTTGTCAATCAGGGATCCCGAACCATTGCTTGCATGACCAAATGATTCAAAACAGAAAGTAACAAAATTGTATTTCTCATATTAATAAAAATATCTTTCAATATAAAAAATAAGTTGCCTCAAATAAAAAATAAACAACCACAATACAAGGCTAAGACATAATATTTTAATAGTACTGTTTGATGAAAAAAAGAAGAAAAACGTCTAATTTTCCATATTACCGTTATGTCCAAACCTGGAAAAAAATAAAAATAAATAAATAAATAAATCTATATTCATTAACTCAAGACTTCTTTATAATTTTAAGAAGTCCTATATA